ACAGGGTGGATCTGGTTTAAATCAAATTGGTTTCAATCATGATTTAATTTTTAAAAAGTGATTTTTTTAAGATTATGATTTAAATCAAATTGATTTTTTAAAAACATGAATTTTTATCTATCCTCCAATAAATTGTAAATATTCACCTCATTCTATTAAATCAGAAACTACTCTACTAAAAACTTAAGCATGTAGACTTATCATGTTAATTTCTCAACACAGCTTGCTTTATCACATTTTAGACAACTTGAGATGCCAACATTCTTTATCCTGCCAAGGATAGGGAGATACACATACCTGGTTCTACAAGACTGCCTCCTCTGCAAAGCAAACCCCATGAGATACTGTAGCCAGACAGGTTATTCTTCATCCCAAACACAGATGTTTATATTACTAACATACCTCGCCCCACAAAACCAAGGGATATTATTTAAAGTTATTACTAATGTTTGGAAAGAGATTTTCCCACGGCCGAATGTCTGCTGACCAGAAACCACAGCATTAGAGATCTTATCGAGAAAGCACAATTAATAAAAGAGACTTTTTAATATGGCAGGAATTAAATTTTGAAGCCTGATTTACAAAAATCCAGCTAATGGATCAAAAATGTGAGCTCATTCAAAGAATATATGTACATAGTAAAAAACAGAAATACAAATAGAATATGAAAATGTACAGAGTTTTCTTATCACAAAGCAGCCTAAAGCTATTTTTTCTGATATGTGGGGCCCTTTTCCAAGCTTTGTTCAACAGCATAATTTTGCCCATGAGAGACACTACTGCTTCCTGTCATGCCAATCACAGTGACTGACACAACATTCTATATCCACCTCTATTACTCCAAAAAAGGGGAAGATTATCCTGCTGTTTCTATATGTACAGCTATGGAGAGGATGCTGAGGCTGAACTTCTAATCCACACACATTGTTAACACTTTTTATAGTCCTGCCTATTTTACACAATTTTACTACTCTTTGGGAAGTTGGGTTAGGACTTCAATAATTAATCAAACACACATTAAAGCCCAGAATGGACACAGCTGTTCACAGCTTTCAAAGTTCATCAGCTTAGGTTATGCTGTGTGAAAATGGTTACCTTACATTGATCTAACAAGGAACTCTGGAAATGAAGATGAAGAGATGTTGGGAAAAGTTCAGAGCCAGCCTAGCAGTAGCACTGCCTTTTTTCATTAGCTTTACTTCTTCAAAACCCAATGTGTATGGAAATGAAATAATAAGGTTTGCAGCATTAGTGTGAAGTTGTGGAGTGCGTAACAGAACAGAAGACAATGACCAAAGATAGAGGTAGTTTCTGCCACCATTTCCCCCCACATTGTTGAAGTTTTCCTTTAGCTTTCTTTCCAAAATTTCAGCATGGTATACAGGTGGATGCCTTTGCTCTGCTGATAATGATCCTGATCTTCATTACATTAGTCTGATCCACTGGCCAACATTTCACAGAATGGATAGAATCATAAATTCTATATAACTTGCTGTAGTTCACTATAGTTAATGGGGTATGCCCCAGTTGTACGCCTGGTTATCCATCTGATTTCATAACACAACTCCATGCTGGCACACTGTCCATTAGCCATAGCAACCCAGGTACAATACATATGAATACCAACAGTATTCCGTCCAATAAGTGATAAATATAATAGCAGAATGTTTGTGAAGTTATGAAGGTGCTTCTTTTTTAAAAGGCACTTTTTCTCATGGTGAGGCAGAGTTCTCTTACAGAGCAATGAATGGGATGTTATATAGGAAAGATTGACCACCACTGTTCTAAAAAAAACAAATCTTTGGATGTAATTAACACGTAACAGTTGCAAACCGTAGAAAAGCAGTTTGATAGCATCAATGTAGTCATTTGTCCATCCTTGCAGTTGTTCTCAACTTTGGGTAACCCAGATGTTCTCCACTGCAACTCCCAGAAATCCTAGCTAGCACAAGTTGACAGAGAAGATTTCTGGGAAGTGCAGTCCATCTGTGTTATACAAGTTTGGGAACCACTGCTTTAGAGGCACAGGAACTCTACTAATGCTACTAATTCAAACATCCAGCAATTTCACTGACATAAGGCTAACCAGCAAAACCACATTTAATATCTGAAAGTATGAAAAACACACTGGACTGTGGTAACATGGTGCTGGAATACATAATGAATAACCCACTGATGTCCTGGGAGGGACATAAGTAGCCTCAATGTATGATTCTGAAAACTGTACCCACCTTTGTAATATTCACACATGTGAACAAACTGATGTGTCTTCAGTTCTCACATGTTTGGTGCCAACAAGCTAATAGTGACTGATCCAACTATAACCAAATTGACTAATCCAGCTGTCACATGAATAATAATTCTTTATTTCTCCTAAAATAAGACCTATCCTGAAAATAAGCAAGCCCTAGTATGATTTTTCATGATGTAATATAAGCCCTACCCGAAAAATAAACCCCAGTCAAGTGAAACCCCACCCTCCACGATTGTGCAGCAACCAGAAGATGACACAACTGTATTTGAATAAATGTAGATTGTTGTACATGGGGGAAAAACATCCCTTGAAAATAAGCACTAGTGCATTTATGGAGCAAAAATTAATATAAGACCCTGTCTTATTTTCGGGGAAACAGGGTATTTAAAATTGATGTATTTAAAAGTTAAGCTGTAACAGTGTATTTCAAACTTTATAGGAGGTTATTGCTGTTATGTAATGAAAACCGCCCCGAGTAGACATGGTCTAGAGGGGCGGGGTATAAATTTAATAAATAAATAAATAAATAAAACATTTTTCTAAAATCAAACACCTAAGTATCATTCTATTTTAAATTTAAAGGGGATTAACATATCACATTACTAATAGTAATAATGGTAACGGCAGCAAGGTTAATTTTGCAAAAATCTGGAAAAATGATAGCTAACTCAATTTAGAGGAATGGTATATAGAATTATAAGGTAAAGGTAAAGGTTCCCCTTGACATTTAGTCCAGTTGTGTCTGACTCTAGGGCTCATCCCCGTCTCCAAGCCGTACAGCCAGCATTTGTCCGTACTGTAGACAGTTTCCATGGTCACGTGGCCAGACACGGAACACCGTTACCTTCCCACCGAGGTGGTACCTATTTATGTACTCGCATTTACATGCTTTCGAACTGTTAGGTTGGCAGGAGCTGGGAGAAGCGACGGGAGCTTGTTTTGTCATGTGGATTCGATCTTATGATCGCTGGTCTTCTGACCTTGCAGCACAGAGGCTTCTGCAGTTTAACCCGCAGCGCCACCACGTCCCATAGAGAATTATGGGATATGGCAATTAATGATAAACTGAGATGAGATATGAAAATGAGAAGAGGCCTATAAAAATAATGACTTTAATAAAATATGGAACGTATTCTTGGAATATGTATTTTGGAGAGGGAAGGGGTATACACGGAGGGAAGAAACAATGAAGTTTTGGAGAGAAAATGGATTGAATGAAATTTAAATAATTATTAATGCTAGCCCTGAGGGTGATGGGGACACTGATGTAATATGAAATTGTATTGTATAGTGGTGGTAGGTTTATGTTGTGTAGGTTATTAATTTTTTTAAAAAAAACATATCACATTACTGCTTCTAAACATGCATAATGTAGATACTGTATCTGTGTTTTCAGTTCTGCGACCACCATGTCTGGATAACCAGTCATAATCAGATAGATGAATAAAGAATCAGATTGGAGATGAATAAAGCCCATTCAATCAACAGTAATACGCCCACACTGTACAGTACATTACTTCTCTGCCGGAAACCCGTCACAGAAAGAATGCACGGGGCTGCCAGAGGAAGGAGCAGGGACTTTTCATTCATTCAAACACAAACACCCTGGCTATAGCACATGGTGGCAGCTGGAGAAGCAGTTGCAACAGCAAAAAGAAAACCGAATGGGAGAGAAGGGGAGGGACAATAACATACTATCAAAGCACACATGATTCTCACTTAACAATGCAAAAGGAAGAAAAAGTACGGGACCTGCTTTGTTGTATCTAGCTAAAATCATGATAGTTCCTCAGTTAAAGTACCCATCTTGGTATTTTTATATCTAAACACGAGGGGAGAAGACTGAAATTATGAAAGACGGGACAGAGACGTATGGGAAGCCAAAAGAGCATGGTAAACCAGTCCTAAACTTTTCCGCCCCCAAAAACTAGGAGCCAACTTCCCACCACGGGTATTTGCAAAAGACAGAAGCATCACTTCCTGAGTTTGAAAACGGGGGGAAAAGAAATCAGAGTAGTCTTTGAAGAGGAAACGGTCACTCGTAACCGTGGCACTTCGATCCATTTTTAAATCCCCTTTTTTCAGCACACCAATTTAACGAGGCCGCCACAACTGCCGGCAAGGGGTACATCTTGAGGGTGGGGGGAGTGTAACCCATTTCAGGCCTGAGGCACAGATGAGAGGGGGCGAGCCTGCCCGCAAGTTATTCCAGGGCGGCGCCGAAGTTCAAAACCCAACCACTCACTCACACGACCGGTCAACGCGCCTTCAGCCCAACAGCATCACTTCCTGAGTTTGAAAACGGGGGAAAAACGAAATCAAAGTAGTCTTTGAAGAGGAAACGGTCACCACCGTGGCACTTCGATCCATTTTTAAATACCGTTTTTTTCAGCACCCCAATTTAACGAGGCCGCCACAACTGCCGGCAAGGGGTACCTCTGAGGGTGGGGGGGAGTGTAACCCATTTCAGGCCTGAGGCAGAGATGAGAGGGGGGGCGAGCCTGTCCGCAAGTTATTCCAGGGCGGCGCCGAAGTTCAAAACCCAACCACTCACTCACACGACCGGTCAACGCGCCTTCAGCCCAACAGACCCGCCTTCTCGCATTGAGGGGCACCGTTGACAGAAAGGGTCGCACCCGGGGCGGCCTCGATTCCCCCCCCCTTCTTCTAACGTACGTTCCCCCCCTTTCCGAGAGCGAGGCGGAGGGCAGGCCAAGGGGGAAGGGGAGGGCAAGAGGCCACTTACTTTCCCAGGAGCTGGTCGTGCTCGGCGCGGATTTTGCCCAGCTCGATCTGCAGCTTGGCCCTCTCGCGGGCCGTGTCGTCCAAAGCCCGCCGGGCATCGGCCAGCTCGGTCTCGTAGAGCGCCTTGAGGCCCGTGAGCTCCCGGCCGCGCACCTCCTCTCGCTCGGTGACCTGGAGGTGGAGGGCGCTGTTCTCGATCTCCAGGCTCCGCACCTTGTCGATGTAGACGGCCAGGCGGTCGTTCAGCTCCCGCAGCTCTTCCTTCTCTTGCAGGCGGGTGATGCGCGTCGGGCTGAGTGGAGTGCTCGCCGCGCTGCTCCGGGTCCGCTGCCCGACCGGCGTCGAGGCCGCCACCGCCGCCGCCATGGCGCGAAGGAGGCGCGGGAAAGCCCGGGGAAAGGAGCGGAGGGGCCGCGGGAAAAGAGGGGCGCCGTGCGAGGGGCCGGGGAAGGGCAAGAAGAGCAAAGACTAAGCAACCCCCTCGGAATTTTTTTTTTAAAAATAATAATCCCTCGCCTCAGTCGCAGCAGCTCCAGAAAATAAGCAGGGGAGGAAAAGGAAGTTTAAAAGCCGGAAAGAAAGCCAAGCCGAGGCGAATGAATGAATGAATGAAGGCAGAACTCCACCCGCCGAGAAAGCGAGCCGCGGGCGGGAAAAAAAAATAAAACAGAAGAGGGAGGAGCGAAAGCAAACGACGAGGCTTTTGCAGGTGCCGGACAGAAAGAACAGGGGGTGTCGGGGAAGTCGCCGCGGTACAAGGCAGGGAGGAAAACAGGCAGAAAAACAGCGAGGGAGCACGCAGGGACAGGCGTTGCAGTCGGCGGTGAGGAAGGGCACGAAGCCGCCCGCTTTCAGCGCCCACGCCGCCCCGGCCGGCCGCTCCTCCCCGGCCCCCAGGAAACACAAAACGGGCGGGCTTCGCGCGGAATCAATATGGCCGTCGCGCGCTCAGCTCGGGTTCCTCCGTCCGCTCCTCGCCCCTGCCCAGGCTCACGTGACCCCGGCTTGGCCAATGAGGAGGCCAAGCGTGCCGCGCTCGGCTGGTTATGGAGGTTTAGAGACTTAAATTCAAAACCCGCGGCCTGCAACTGTCAGCGACGCGGTGGCGCGCTCGCTCCCCTCGGCCCGGGCTCCCCCACCCCCTTGGGGCCCCCCACTGCTCGTGCGCGCGCAAGGCTCGTGTCTGGGCTGTTGTTGTTGTTGTTTTCCTGTTGCTTCGTTCTCGCTTCTCTGGGCTAGGGTTTTTTTTCCCCTTTTTCTCTTCAGACGTTATAGGGCAGGAGAAAGAGGAAGAGTTTGCCTGTTGCCCCGGTCCTCTCAGAGACCGCAGAAGAAGGCCTTGCTATTTCTCGTTTCCCCGCCCGTGTGGCGGCAGCATTACTGATTGTCGTTACTAAAGCGGGAATCTTGTATTGGAGGCTCCCTTTCATTGTAGTTGAGAGGCCGGTGGAAACACCGGTGTGGTAGAAATGAGCTGGTTTGTTGGCCAGCCTGGAAACTGAAAAGAGTGGGTTAGTCACAGACGGGGTGGCTCGATTTGGGAGTTCAAAAGGTGTGCTTTCCTGTGGTTTGGGAGCCGAAGACGACCCGTTACTGCTTCCTACATGCGACGTTTTCGCGTGTACAGTACTGTATCTTGCCGGTTGAGAAATACGCCTTGAGTGCACACGCACATATTTTATGTTTCACAAATGGTCCCCTCCGCAGACAAAGACACAAAAGGAGAAGGCTGCTGAAGACCGCAGTGCTATATGGTGGGGATTAACCAGCGAATACTGCATAATCCTACACGTCAACTCAGGAGTAAACTCGACTAAATTCAATTAAAATTACTGGGGGGAAATGGTAAGGATTGCAACCAAAGGCCCTGAATCAGTTGCATAAGGCGTAGCTTGATAGCTGGTTTGCTCTGAAACTTTGGAAGTTTTCTTCTCCCTACACGAGTGCAGGCGTGGGGTGGAGAAATTGTTTTCTGGCAAAGGCCCCTGCATAGTCGCTTGGAAAGTTACTTTTGAAAATAATCTTGTCACACAATTTTCTCATAGTTTGACACCTTATTTACTTTTTTTAAAAAGCCATCTAAAAAGTAAGAAAATTGCCTAACGTATGAATAACCAAGAAAAAGCAACCTGTAAACAGGAATTATTAAATGAAAAAAGTGCTGATCTTACTTCCCAGTAGGACCATTAAATACTGCTTTGTCCTTGCCCCCTTCAAGCGAAGTATGACTTCCAGGTTCTTCTAACTACCCCTGAGAGCTCAGGTTCTACTGCAAATTAAGTATTTTAGGATCAACCCAGATTTTGCTGCCTGGAAGGGGGAAAAATGAGACCTTCCAAGCACCCCACCCAAGTCAAACTGTCAGCCAAATAATTTTACCACACATGGCTGAATCACCATCCCCACCTCACTCTACTTAATGGCACTGTTTGGATTTCAGTAGAACTGCCCAATCTTATCCTCCTGAAACATGAGTCTATGTCATGTTTACATTGAATTAGGTTTCACTGTGCTTAAAATAATTAATTCCAAGAAAGAATAGCCAGATTCCACATTGAATTAGGTTTCACTGTGCTTAAAACAATTAATTCCAAGAAATAATAGCCAGATTCCAGTCTCCACATCTATTTTTTTTAGAATTTTTAAAGTGTAACTGGATAGATGAAATTTTCAGATTACATCAGGAAGTATTGGTTTGGTTATACAAAGGATTCCAGCTAATTATGGAAGATTAGTTGGATTATGTCATCTATTGAAGTGAGAGCAATGGAATGCAATTCATTAATGCATGCATGTGGGAACAAATGAACTTATTTATCTACAATTAGAAGCTGGAGAGAAATAGGTTGTTGAGTTACTATTGGCTCACAAGAGAATCATGAAACCAGTAGATTTTGCTTTAAGAAGGGCAAAAAAGTTCAAGCAGGGATTTTGTAGGAGTGCATAAGAACTAGCAATAGTGCAAGACACAATGGAGGCCCCAGTAAGAATACCATGCCCAGTTTTAGCCATCTGTGTCGAAGGATGAATTAAAGTAGAAAATAAATCAATTTAGAAATATAGAGAAATAAAAACATAGAATCAGATTTATCTGTGCACTTGAGAGAAGCAGTCATAAAAAGTCTTTGAAAGATGAACTGCTGGATAGCTCAGTGGTTTAGGTGTTGCAGAGCTAGAGGTTGGGAGTTCAATTCCCCACTGACAGGCTGGACTTGATGAGCAGCAGAGGGTCCCTTCATGCTCTGCAGTTCTAAGAATAATGTAATAATAAATGTCTGTAAATGTCATACAGCAACATATACTTGGCAGAAACGTAAGGCTCCTGTGAGACCCAGGGCGAGAGCAAAGAGGCACTCACTGGAGTGCTGTCCATTCCACGTGTAGACCCAGGGCGAGAGCAAAGAGGCACTCACCGGAGTGCTGTCCATTCCATGTGTAGAGAGGGAGGTACAGACCACACTAACAGTCCCACCAAAAGAGACTATTCAAAAGGGAATGATACCCGGGATTTGGAGGGGGGATTTGGAGGAACAAATGTGCAGGATAACCGTTGCTGTTCAAATCCCGGCCGAGTTGGCAGGAATACCAAGGACCAGGAGGGGGGAGATTGAGGCGGGTTCAGCGGAAACAAGAAGGAGGGAAGATCTGAATACCAAGGACCAGGAGGGGGGAGATTGAAGCGGGTTTGGTGGAAACAAGAAGGAGGGAAGATCCGATACCCAGGGGTTGAGAGATGGTTTGGGTACAAGTCCCATGTTCCAGGAAATGGGAGCATGTGTGGGTGCTGAGAGGAGGCTGACTTTAGCAGAAAGAGGGGGATCCCTCAAAGGCCTTCATATTGGGGTGAATCGGAAGCAAGAGAGTGGAGAAGGTTAAGGGAGGAAAGGGAAAGAGTTGAACGGTAGGAGAGAGAAAGAAGAGAATGGCGAGTGGAGGAGACGAAGAGGAGGGTTTTTCTACACTACAGGACCCTGGAACCCCTTTCGAGAGACCAGAGAGTTCCGAGATGACCAGGCAGATGAGGATGAGACCACCCCACTCCTGGATGAGAGAGCCGATGAACTGCTGAGGGAAAATGAGGTTCCCCTCTGGACTGTACCCTGGGTAATGTTGAGGACTCTAAACTGTTTGAAAATGAAGAATGGGCACCCCCATCCAACCCGTTGGCGATGGAAGAGAAATTATGGAATGACATACTTGATAAAGACTTTTTGTTGAATATTCCAATAAACCTGACCTCTAGTTTGAAATTGATGATGACTCGTGATTTTGTTGTGGAGACCGTTAATCCCAAGATTGAACACTCACAGCTCCAAAGTACCAAGTCTGAAATGCTGTACAATACCCCATCCTGTCCATAAATCTTAAGGCCAATGTAATGTTAAATATGTGTGAGTACCACAGTCCCTCCTCAATCATGGTCTCTACTGTGTTTCCCTGAAAATAAGCCCTACCCCGAAAATAAGCCCTAGTTAAGTGAAACCCTGCCCTCCACTAGGGACTCACCGGGATCCTCCCAAGCCCTCAAGAGAAACTTAAAACTTCTTGCCCTCCTCTCCCACTTCCCTCGCTGGCAGAGGGGCTGGGCAGCCAGGGAGGTAGCAGCTGTGTGCCTCCAGGAATTTGCTCCTTGGCTCCTAAGTTCCCAACGGCAGTTTCCCCCCTCCAACGTCACCCAGACGAGGCTAACAAAGCACAAGGTTGGAGGGGGAAGATGATTTCGGAGCTCTGGCCCCCACCACCCAGACAGCCCCCTTCCCTGCCTTTGTTTTCCCCCTCCCCTCTTTCTCCTACCGTAAGTCTTTTAACCCTCCTCTTGTTCGGCTCCCTCTTTGGTGCTGCTGGTAGGGCCAGGTGTTGAAGCAGCCGCTGCTCTTTCCTTAACTGGGCTCTCCAGCTTCGGGCCCTGGCCCCTTCCATACCAACACCTCCCTCTTCACTGCTCCTGTTGTTTCCCTCAAAACAAACCCAGCGCCCGCCAGCCCCAATGGGAGCCTCAGCCTGGGCACCACCACTGGAGCAACTCGAGCCACCACCATGGCACCTCCTGGCAGCGGCAGAGGCACCCCTGGAGGAAGTGGCACCAGGTACATTTAAAGAAGGGGAAGGAGAACGGAAATAAATTAATAAGAAGAAATAAAATTAATGATAGTAATTGAATAAATGCAGATTATTGTTCTGGAGAAAATAAATTAATAATAAGAAATAAAATTAATGATAGTAATTGAATAAATACAGATTGTTGTTCTTGAGAAAAAAAAATAAAACATCAGCCAAAAATAAGCCTTAATGCATTTTTTTGAGCAGAAATTAATATGTCCCTGTCTTATTTTTGGGGGAACACAGTATAAACTCCAAATTGCTGGAACTGTTAGAACTTTATTAAAATTGGGAACACAGTACAAGAAAGGGAAGGGTGCCAGCTGACTTGAGTTGGCTCCACTGGCTTCCCCACATCAAGTGTAGTCTTTGTCTGACCTTGAGTTCCCATCACTGTGGTTGGGCTGCTCTCATTCTGTTGATGGCATTGGATCTTAAACACAGCCCTAAGCCAAACTTCATTGAAAGTTTGTAACATCTGCTGCTCACTAATGTCTGGATTTTCCCAGTTCCTCCTTTCTGCTGCCGCCTCTGGTGCTCCTTCTGGGCACTTGTGTCTCCAGTGCATCCACTGTGTGGGAGCTGAGGCTGGGGGCTTTGCTAGTCACTGAGGTCTCCACAGAGTGGTTACCAAAGGGAGAGAAGCTGGCGGGCTGAAGACCAGTGCTCTGCCACATCTCTTCCTTTGGCCACTGGGAATTCCATGCATCCCCTTGTGTTCCTCCATGGTTTCTCCCTACTCTTCTCTCTATGACTCCACTGAATCCATCAAGCTGGAACCCCCCCCTTCTTCCTGCTACTCTCCCTTCTTTACCCCTGCCCCCCAACAGTTGGGCCCAGTCCCCAACCCCGCCACCTCACCCAGCTGGAATCTATCATCCCCCAG